GGTATTTCTTATTTTGACTATCAGTTTCTGTGTGAGCCATGTAACTAATAACCATTAAAAGGCTAATGCCCTAGATCACCCACTTCACCATCTTGGATTTTCAGTATAAATTGCAAACATATCATTTATTATCTGTTACAGTCATCCAAGATTGATATCCTATGGTAAATACATTTCTTTAAATCATTACAATTGGAATACAAATAATGATTTGTGAAGGGCGAGGGTAAAGCTGTCTTTTTTTTTTTAATTTTATTTTATTTTGTCAATATACAATGTGGTTGATTATTGTGGCCCATTATAAAGCTGTCTTTAATAAATACTGTACTTGGAAATGGAATTTGACCAAACATCGTATTTATTTATGTATTTATCACCCCCACCCCCAACACTTTATTAGTTTCCTCTACAAGAGACAATAACATCAATCTTTTTAACAGAAATCTCAGGTCATTTGAGAGACCAAACAGATCCAGAGAAGGAAGATGAAAATTAAATACTTAAATTAATCAAAAGGCAGTACAACACTACCTAAAACCTACTACCATGGTGGTTGTAGGCTAAGGAAGATTAAGCTACAGCAGATCATCTAGTGTGAACGTTAGCAATTACATAGCAAGAAGAGAGTTTACTTTCCAGAAGACTATGATACAATGATCATTTGGGCCTAAGAGAATTTTTGGCCATGAAAAGGTCAAGATGGCCGAAGGCAAAAACAAATCAAAAGGAATAGGTTCAAAGGACAATCCAAGCTATGTAGTCAAGCAGATGGTGATGGATCAGGCTTCTTCCTCCCAAAAAACATTTGCTGCACTGTGCTGCTGTGTCCCCTGCACTTCCCTCCATGACCCCATCTCACAGCTGCTCAAGCTCAGCTGCCTGTTCCTGCCTTACCAGGAACTACCTTACCTGGTAGCTCAGCTACCAGGACTAGGTTTAGGGTTGCCCAGGGCTCTTGCTATAATTTAGCAGAGACCTGAGAGAACTTGTCCAATATGGGTTGGCTTTGTTGCTAGTTGTTCCAAACAAAGAAAACCCTGAAGCATTTGCATGCTAAGTAGTCTGAGCTTTCCCAGTCACATTCAAATCACACCCCTACATAACACCCTCAAAAGTTTGAAATCTTGCAGCAGCTGAGCTGTATGTAAAGCTTCAAGGCTCACAAAATTATCAAGGAAGCCAGAATGAGAAAATGCAGGTAAGAAATCCCAGCAGTTAATCTCAATCTGTCTTTCCCCAATTTACAATAAACTCTAATATATCTGATGTGGGATGTAGAAAGCTACACTGGAGCAAACTGGGTCTTCTGCTGAATTTGACATCAAATACCAAGGGAAAAGGGGGTAGGGTCAATTTTATTTTTAAAAAGCCTCAGAAGTTATTCTATTATAAAGGAACATTGCTGAACAGGTAGGAAACATTCCCCATTATGAGTTCTCCTGATGGCTTCTGCAAGGATCACAGAGATGATCACCTGTATTTTAGAGCAATGCTTCATCTTATCCTCCTGAGGTATAGTGTTGGTGACTACTACTGCTTCAAAGCATGCATTGTTGATGCAAGAAATGACAGGACTAGAAAAGATTCCATGAGTCAAGATAGCATAAACTCTGGTGGATCCAGCTGAGAGAAGTTTGTCAGCTGCATGGCAGAATGTGCTACAAGTGTCAGCCATGTCATTCACAAGGATGGCCACCCAATCCTTCACATCTCCCACTAGCACCATGCAGTCCACTTCATCGGCCTTATTCTGTTCTTTGTGAATCAAGGCAAAGGCCACATTCAACCAGTCTGCAATGGAGGTCACTCTCTTAGCTCCACCAGCATAAGGTGAGACAATAGCACAGTTCCTCCACTCAGAGATGTTCTCCCTCATCCACTTCAGGACAGCTGGCTCTGCATACAAATTGTCCACTGGGATATCAGAAAAACCCTGAATTTGAGAAACATGTAGGTCCATGGTGATAATATGATCTATGCCTGCTACAGAAAGCATATTTGCAACAAGCTTGGATGAGATTGGAGCCCGGCTCTTATCTTTTTTTATCCTGCCAGACACAAGGGAAGCATGGGATGACTGTAGTAAGCCTGCTGGCTGAAGCAATCTTTTGCAGGCATTGATCATGATCAAAAGCTCCATTAGATTGTCATTGATTTTACCACAACCACTGTGAACAATGTAGACATCCTCTCCATGTACACTTTCGCCAATTTCCACACAGGTTCCTGGTTGCTGAATTTCTTAGTCATCACCTTGCCTAGCTCCAGGCCCAGGCAGTCAGCAATTTTGGGGGATAAGACCTGGTGGGAGCTGCTGCCGAAGATCTTGATATTGGGCATGTTAGCCAACTGCCCTAGGCACTCTTCGCCCAGCGATCACGGCTGCTGTGGAGACTTGAACTGAAATCTGCCCAGAGACACAATACTAAATGCACTGCTACCCCACCATCTTCCTGTACATTTATCCAACCAGGGTTTAACCCACCTCCCATTTATATACACTTGCATAAGGCAGAGAAATCATTCAGAATTACAGTTGGCAATTTTACAGAACTGCCAACTGCTTGTTCCTTGACTGAGACAGAACCTAACCAAATTCTAGGTAATTTGGCTTGTAGGAAGGCTCCTAAATGTCAACTTGCTCACAAGTATATCTGCCTTGCCTTTTAATGTAACATAAGAGATTTGAATTCAGGTTTATGGAAGGCTGGATGGCATGTCAAAGACACATATTTAACTCTTCTTCCTGCTGGGTCATTGTTTCTAAATAAGTTGTCTTTCAAAGGTAGAAAAACCTAACTTTTTCATGCTGCATTTCCTGACCTTTGAATGCTGGAGTTTCTCAGAGCTTGGTGTTGGACTTTTTTTTTTTTTTCTTTCTGTACTCTATATTCTTTTGCATAGGGAATTTCATCCACTCCCATTTCTTCAAATGCTATTTATATGCTAATGGATTATAACTTCATATCACTTGGCCAATTGTCTTTTCTAAGCTCTAGACCTCTATATTCAACACATTATTCTATACCTCTTCTTGGATGTGTGACAGGCACTTCAAACTTAACATGTCCAAAACAGAATTCAAGGTCATGCCATATCACCCTCCAACCACAATCCCAGGTTGTTAAAAGACACCACTCCTTTTCACTCACCCTATGCATATCACTACATCCAATTGACTCTACTTTCTGAAAATATCTTGAGTCTGTTCACTTCAGTCCACCTCCATTGTCTTCAGCATAGTAAAGTCCACCAATTTTCCACCTGCCTCCTAGTTTCACTTCACCCACTTTTTTTTCCTTTTATTAATTCACACAGCAGCCAGAATGATCTCTTAAGAATGCTATTATGATTACAATTATCCTTTCTTAAAGCCTTTTTAGTGTACTATATCAGGGATGAACCTTGAAGGCATTATGCTAAGTGAAATAAGCAAGACACAAAAGGACAAATATTATATGATTGCACTTAGATAGAATAGTCAAATTCACAGAGACAGAAAGTAGAATGATGGATGCCAGGGGCAGCAGGGAGAGAGGAATGAGGAGTTACTGTTTAATGGTTACAGAGTTTCAGTTTGGGATAATGAAAAAGTTCTGGAGATGGAGGATACTAGTAATGGTTGCACAACAATGTGAATGTACTTAATGTCACCAAATGTATACTTAAAAATTATCAAAATGCTAAATTTTACGTATATTTTACCTCAATAAACAAAACCAAAACCAAAAATAAACTCTTTTGGTCACTCATTGCTGTCCTGATAAAGATCCAAATACTTGACACCATGTAGAAGGCCCAATATGTTTGGGCCCACCATTCTACTCCTCAGTTCTACACTCCAGTTAACACTGGCTGCCTCTGAAGTCCATGATGACACTAAATACCTTCTTACTTTAAACCTTCCGCCTTAACATTCCCTCTCCTGGAATTAAATGCTTTTCCTCTTTTTTAACCTGTCCAACTACTATTCATCCCTCCAGCCCTCAGCCCACACATCACTTCCTCCAGGATACTCTCCCTGACTCTTTGATCCTTCTGTTTACTCCCTTACACCACCTATAGTTCCTTGTACCACTTATCACAGTAATGATTTATTATTCAGTATCTGTCTCCTCCAAAATATTGCAAGTTTTGTGAGACCAGGGACCATTTTGACTTGTTCACCTAAAACCTTTCAAAGAGCTGACCCTTAGTTGAAATTCAAAACATATTTGTAGGGTGAGTGAATCAACACATGAATGAATGAATACCATCTAAAGGGTAAAGAATAACACTAATAACATGAGGACTACCACTTAAAAGGCACTTCAAGGGCTGACAGGTTATTTCGGTTCGTTTGAGTTGGGTGTTACACCACCAAAGTCAAGGGTTCAGATCCCTGTACTTACTGGCCATCCACACAAAAAAAGTACTTTGAATAAAAAAATTAATGTGATTATAAAAAAAATACAATTCCCTGTAGAAAACTTGGACAGTACAGATAAATTATAAAGAAAATAAAAACTACCCTATCTCATGACCCAGAGGTAATCACTGTTACAGTTACATATTTTGGTATATTTCCTGACATTGGGGGAGAAAATAGAATGAGTCATGAAATGTATCTGAAGTTGGCACTTCCGTCCTTCAGAACAGGTTTCCACAATGTTATTTACACCTGATACAGCCAAACCACAGGAAATTATTATACTCTGTATATTTTTTCCACCCTGCCTCACGTCCTTGCCCTATGGCCCGGTCCCTACCCCAAACTCTGCCCTTCACTTAGGGGAGGAGTTGAGGATCTCTTTATAGTGGATTGGTTTACGAAGCGGAGGGTAAATCAGAGACGCCCCACCCATTACGCAGGAGGCCTTGGGATGGGCGCTCCCCCACGCCTCCCGGCCGGACCTGCAGGAAGGTGGTTTGGCGGCGGACGGAGGGCCCTGTCTCCTGTCCCCTGTCCCTTTAAGGAGGAGGGCCGAGTGCGGCCGAGACAGCAGGCGTACCCCCACCCGCCCGCGCCCTCACTGCAGAGCAGCTGCAGCCCCAGCCGCGGCCGCCCCTCGCTTCGCAGTGTCCGCTCCGGCCCAGGCAGCGAGTCGTCACCATGGTGAAGATCGTGACTGTTAAGACCCAGGCGTACCCGGACCAGAAGCCGGGCACAAGCGGACTGCGGAAGCGGGTGAAAGTGTTCCAGAGCAGCGCCAACTACGCGGAGAATTTCATCCAAAGTATCATCTCCACCGTGGAGCCGGCGCAGCGGCAGGAGGCCACCCTGGTGGTGGGCGGGGACGGCAGGGTCTACATGAAGGACGCCATCCAGCTCATCGTCCGCATCGCCGCAGCCAACGGGGTAAGGGAGCGCCCACTCCTCGGCGGCGTGCGTCCGGGGCGCGTGCGCTACGTGCGGCCCGTGTCGCCCGGCCTCGCTCAGGGTCGGGCCGCGTCCGTGCACGGCCGCTCTAGTCTCCACCCCCGCTCCTCTGCGCTCGCTCCTCCCGCTTGGAGGCCCGACGGAGGTCGCCCACACGGCGGGGGGAAGTGGCCAAGGGGTCCCAGCACTCCCGTCTGACTTCCTGGGGGCGGGGAGTCGGAATTGACCTTGGGAGGCCCGCCCGACCCTCTGCCTCTTGCCCCTCCCTGACGGTGCCTGTCCCCGTCCCGGTCCTCCTCCCGAGGCCTCTGACATTTACAGTGACCTTTGCTGCCTCTGCAGATACAGTTACAGCGCCGAGGGCAGTCGCCTTAACCGGGAAAGGTTAGACGGCGCCGCCTTGTTCAGACCCCTCGCATCCCGCCCGGTTGCTTACTATTCTCGGCTAGGACTGGCGCCTCCCGCTGGCTCCAAGCCCGGCGCTCCGGGACAAGGGTGGCCGGAGTACCCACCCACCGGGGACGTCAGGCCCGAATCGGAGCGGGCGGGTGCCAAGCCTCGCTCCCCAGGCCCTCGTTTGCGCTGGGACTTCGCTCCTGCCTTTCTGCGGCCTGCTTGCTGGGTGCAGGCTTTTTTGGAAAAAAAAAAAAAAACCTAGTCTTTGCCCACTGGTGCTCGGGATCTGTTCCACCGAGGGTGCTGGAGCTGAATTTTTATTAGAACAGAAACAACGTACCCAAGGGCGCTCTTACGCAGGCAGTGGTGGCAGGCAAGGAAATTAATGCAACACCCTGGTTCCGCCCCCTGGCTAAGGAACGTTAACTGACTTAATTGGGCAGCCCTCTCCGTAGGTGGAACTTTAAAATAGGTTTTTCACTAAATCTGATATACGGAAATGTGGATTTATAAAAATTGATAAGTTGGGGCCAATTATTCACTCACTTTTATAAAAAAGGGAGTTCTTTAAGGAACAAGTTTTATTTATATTTAAAATAGGATTTGATTTATATTCAACTCTTCTGGAACTCATTTTCTTTAGTAATATTTTTTATTCATTTTAGTAGTACCTTGTTTATTTTATTAACATATTGAGTGCTGTTTTGCCAGTGATAAGCACTTCATTTGCCATATCTCATTCATCCTCCTACATCCCTATGAGGTAGATGCTATTATGGTGTTAAGTTGCCAGTGAGAACACTGAAGCTTAGGCAGGTTAAATAATTTACAAGAACTGTAATGGCATCACTGAGAATGCAATACAGACCTGCCGATCCCAAGAACTTGAACAGCCTCTGAGAATGAAGGTACACTTGAATCTAAAGATCTATTTTCCAGTCTCCAAAATCTAAACTGGCCCCTAACCATACCTGCCTTCCTGGGTCAAACATTTATAACCATCAATGAGGGAAGATTGTCTGGATTTGTTTTCTCTATGCTCCTGAGTTTTCAGGCATCTACAAGTTCCCATGAAAGTAGAACAAACAATTGCTGTGTCCAAGCAGACCCCTTCATCTCCCTGTTCACCTGTGCTGAATTTGCATTTCATTCATTCATTCAAAAGATATTGAGCCTATACCATGTACAGAGAAATGTGTGGAATAAAAGGATGTTTCAGACAAAAGATTTGTCTTTAAGGAGCTTACAGTGTTGCGGGAATTTTAGGGATCCAAATAGAAAGTTGTCCATTTGGGAATAGTTTAGGGTGGGAAGGAAAGAATTTTTTTTAAAAAGTTCTTAAAACTTTGTCACCCTTTAGCTACTGCCGTATTTCTCTTCCCTCTTTCAGCCAACCTTTGTAAAAATTCTCTGCATTCTCAATCTGATTCTCACCTCCTATTCACTCACCACCTCACTGCAGTCTGGCTTCTGCCCACTGTACCACTCCACTAAAAGTGCTCTTGCAAAGTTACTGATGACTTTCTCATTGCTAAGTTCATGGAACACTTTATAGGCCTTATCTTGACCTTTCTGGTGCATTTGGCACTGCTGATTTTGCACTTTTTAAAAAGTTCTTAAAAAGTTCTTTTCCCCTTGCCTTCATCAGTCTCTCTTGATTCTATTCACACTTTGAAAGTTCCTTTCTGGACTGCTTGCCCTGCCTACACCTTAGCTGTTCCCTTGGTTTCTGTCCTCAGTTTGCTGCTTTGTGATTTTATGCTCGCTCTCTCTCCTCATGAGGGGTTTAAATATGCTACTCCTCTTCTGGTGTGATTCAGTTCAGATAGCATCTTCAGAAAGCTTTCCACAACACCCCCTCCCCGCTGCTCTCTTCTGCCTGTTAAGTGCTCTTTTCCCATAGACACCTCTAGAATAGATTAATCAAATTCCATTGAAATTATTTGTTTACATGTCGTAGTTCCCCGCTAGAGAATATGCTTCTGTAAGACAGAATCTTGTGTTTTATGGGTCTCTGCAATACCTAGGACAATGTAGCATTCAATGAATACTTGTTCAGTTGCCCTGAACTGTGAGTCACCTTTGTATTCCAGCACTTAACTGCAAGCCAGTGTATAGTTGGTGACCGATAAATTTATTCTCATCAAACATTTATTATGTGCTTGCTTTGTGTTAGACATTGTGCTTGAGATATGCCTGCCGTCAGGAAAGACCTAGTCTAGAAGGGGAGGTAGACGAGAATAAGCAGACAGCACCATGGGTTAGGTGTTATGATGGAGGTATGTGCCAGGCGGTGTAGGGACAAGAGCATGGGAGGGGAAGACGAAGTGAGGAAGGCTTTATTGAGGGGTGGTAGCTGAACTGAGGCTTAAAGGATGAGTTGGAGTACCTAAGGTAGCTTTACTGGATGGGAGGAATTCTAGGCAGAATGAATAAAAATCATGGGAGTTGGGGACTGTTCTCTGGGCGAGCTACTTAATTTCTGATCCTTTTTTTCCTCATCTGTAAAATGTGGGGATGATGACATATACCTAAAGAGGCTGTCATGAGAATTAGATGAAACCACATTTTAAAAAGTATCTGGCAGCCCCTTCTTACCTGGAAACTGTTAAAATGTCACTTATTTTATCAGTGTTCTGCTGATATTAGGACACTAAATTAATCCAACCTAATGCAGATATTACCCCCCCTGGATAGATATCATTATTGTTTCCCACCTTTCTCTAACCCTCAACAGCCCCATCCAACATAGAGGTATTCCATGTTAGTCAGAACCCAATTGGGTGCAAGTGACAAAAACCTAACTTGGGTTAGTCCAAGCAGAAAAGGAATTTATTGGCCCATGTTACCAAAAAGTCCAAGAGATGCCCAGTGCAGACTCCCTAGTTCAAATTATGCCTGGTCTGTAAAAATTACTTCTAGGCCCAATGACCTGCAAATGACCAGTGTTAAGAATTGTGGAGTGTTTTAACTCACAAGTAAATAATGTATGGGTATTTTGAAGAATAATTTATCACCATCTGTGATATTATGATATGTATATTTTGGTTTTCATCTACAGTTCCTGGCTTGTTCTAACATTCTCCCACCTTTGTCTTGGAGCTGGCCATAAAGAAATTCTCTGACCTACCTTGTTTGACCGTAGGTCATAAGACCCCTATTTCAGAAGGGGTCCTGCCCCACACTCAGGAGGAAGAAATGCTGCACAGAGAGGCCAAGAAGAACCTGAACAGACAGGCCTTGCTGTGTTTCCCCACCCAGTCTGTTAGTGTTAGATCATACCCTTTATGTCCTATCACATTTCTACATGGTTGTCCATGCTTCTATCATGCCCATGTAATGAAGCTTCTGTAAAAACCCAAGAGCACAGGTTTTGAGGAGCTTCTATATACCTGAACACATGGAGGTTCCTGGAAGGTGGTGCACCCCGGGAGGATATGAGAGCTCTGCACCTCTCCTCGCATACTTTGCCCTATGCATCTCTTCATCTGTATCCTTTGTAATATCCTTTATAATAAATGGGTAAACATAAGTGTTTCCCTGAGTTCTGTGAGCCACTCAGCAAATCAGTTGAACCCAAGGAGGGGATTGTGGGGACCCCAGTTTATAGCCAGCTGGTCAGAAGCACAGGTAAAACAATCTATAGCTTGCGACTGGCAT